AGAAAAAAGCAGACATGCAAGAGGAACATAGAAGCACTGAGTGATGAAAACTTTGAAAATTGTAATTTTGACATTAACTTTCTTTTTCAATTTTTATAATATTTGGCATCTGTTCACTAACTGAAATATGAAGAACCAACAATTATCCTTCAGTTTTCAACAACAGAAAAGCATCACTTCTTCCCCATTTCCTTGTTTGGAACTGAGGCCCAGTCAGAGACGGAGGGAAGAAAAATCTGTCTAGGATACTCTGACAGTAGAATTAATGTGAATCCAGTCAAATCTGAAATAAAGGGAGAGAAGAATGTGGAAACACTCATGGCTGGGGAAGCGGCCATCTTGGGATGCCAGTTTCCCAGAGAGAGTTGGAGGTGTGTTTTTAACACTGATCTAGTAGGATTTAGCATGTCAAAATGTTTCCACACATTATTTTTATGCCCTGAAAGCTTATTTTTCATTCATCTATACATGTGATGACAAAACATGTGTTTTTGTTGTGGCTGCTTTAAGCTGCCTATTAGAATGATCCAGATTTATAGATGTGTTTTAACTGTTGTAATTTAATCTAAATAAGAAAATCTAACATAACTTTTTTATTCATGACACAGATTACAATCCAGGCGGCTGAAGGCTCCCCAATCCACTGCCGCTCTCCAGGATACAGTATAAACCACTGGAGGACATTTACTTTTATAGTGATAATTATGTTAAAAAACGTGTTTTTCAATTTGTATATGTGTAAAAATGTTTCAGTTTAATTTGTTGGAATGGAAAAAGAGGACCATTCCGACAAACTCCATTATGCAAACCGGCCTGTCCCTGAACACAATGTTATGTTGCTCACAAGCGAAGAAGAAAGAGAAGACTGAAGGACCAGTTGGCACTAATAGACACTGTTGATTGATTAATATCTATTTTAGGAAATGGAAGAGGCGCATTCCTTGATTTTTTTTGTTTAAATGTTAATAGATATGTAATGTATGAAAACATCACTGTCCCGGGTTCCTACTTTAATTTTCATAAAATATATTTATTTTTTATTTATGAGCTGGAAATGTCCCCAGATTAGATTGCAGAAATGTGGTCACCTTAATACAGAGGATTTACTCAATCTTTTTACTTCTTGCCTCCATTATTTAGATGCATCCAGACACAGTTTAAAGGAAGAAGAACTATAACCGCCCGCACCGTCTACACTGTCTTTGCTCACTAGATTATTGTTAAACGCTAAAATCGTCTTAACAGAAGAAATTCTCCTATTATGAGTTATTTTTAGTCCAGTTGCTTAAGCTAATATGTGCTGCAATTATTTTGGGGGTGTTAGCTTGAAAGTAAAGTTTCCATCAAAGATCCACAGCAGAAGCACCTCTGAGCTACTTATAGAAATCTGTGCTTTGCTTCCAGGGCCAGACTAGGAAAGAAAATCAGCACTGGTAATTTAGACCAGATCAGCTCCACACATTCATCAGAGCACTCTTTTTATTGGTTTCAGTCTCTTGGATCACAAAATCAATCTGCATCTCATTAAGACCGTAAAGACTGTAACGTGCCTTGAGATGACAAGTGTTGTGAATTTGCACTATATAAATAAACTGAAATGAATTGAATTAAGTCTGCATACTCTAAACTGGACAATGTTAATGGGTATTAATGTAAGTGAATATTCTAAACACTTGAGAAAGTGTCATTTATCCACCTAATAATCTTTTGTGCAGCATTCATTGGATTTGGGGCTTTTGTGTTTTAGGGAGGAAGAAAATGAAAAGAAAAAAAAAAGACAGTTGACGGATCAGAAAATGCTTATTGTTTTCTGAATATTATTTTACATTGTTGTGTTATTCAGCATTGGATACCACAGTTGAAGGCTAACCTCCAATTAAAACAGAGCTTACCCTGAGCTACAGCAATGAGGAGTTCAAGAAATGCAGCACTGCAATCACCAAAATGTCAGGATAAACAGTTCACTATGGTTTAGTGGTGAGCTCAGATCCTTCATGCTTCTGAGAGATAAGAATAGAAAAGTCTATTGTAAAGTGAGGAACCAAGCAACAACAGAAATTGTTTTAATATATTTTTCATCAACAAAGTCAACGGTCTGAGATTTCAGACAAACTTAAAGGAAAACTGTTCTAAAATAATAACTGATTTAATGGATGGAAACATTTGCTGCTTTAACCTGGAGATTTTGGATTAAAAACTGTTAAAGATAAACTACAAGGTATTTCTAAGGATCCTTTATCTGGTTTTGATGACCTTGAAGGAGGATTAAAATGGCTGCCAATATGCTGGTTCAATCGATCAGTCTTTTTTAAATTGTTCTGCTGTTAGTGGATCATCTCAAAACCTTTGGATATAATCTAAAATTATGACTCTATTCAATCCTTAAACAAGTTCAGCAGGGTTCAGGGTTACTAACACTGCTCTGACTCATGTGATAGATCATCAGTCAATGGATATGCTAAATATGGAAGTTTTATTCCTTTGAAGGCAGCTGCAACTCAGAACTTCCCTTCCGGCTCTTTTCCTGGGAGCAAGTTATTTACTACTCTTAACTCAAACTGGGTAGAACCATATAAAAAAAAGGACTCTGAAACAGGAGTAAAAAAGTAACAAAGTTTATTCCAAATCAGGTCGTTACAGGACAGACAAAGATTGAGCCCCGAACTGGGTCATCTCCTCCTTCTTATACCTCATGAGTCTATGTGTTGCATCAGGTGGATGCTTAGCTGTCTAAATCAGAAACTGACACGCCATCCATGCCCTAACCTTTATGCATCTTGCCTCCATGCCCAAGGATTACAGATAGCTCTCCTCTATCAGTCCGGCTCCGAGATGTGTCCTTGTCCAAAGTATCTGTAAAAGACAAGAAGGCTGTCCTATTTAGATTACCTCCATACACGCAGTGTAATCCACCATGTGAAGGAAGGCCTTCAACCCCATCTAATCTGGCTAACAGAGTAACAATGCACATGATGTATTAAGAATAAACCTAACAGATAAAAAACTAAAGAAAAATTAAATAAATAAAACAGCTTTTGCTGTCATTGATCTTTGCATTGACTAGAAAAACTTCCTCCGAAAGAGTGCTCCTAATGAATGACATCTTACCTTTCTGATTGTTAAGAAGTGTATTTTAATGGAAGTTTATCCAGAGCTAAAATTACACCATGAAGTCGACCTCAAGGAAGTTTAATGTGACCACTTTAATTTTCTCTTTTCATAAATTACTTTCCATGTTCATTTAGGCTAGTATAGTCCTTTATGCTGATGATGCTACTTTTTTTGTTTGCTTTTTGAATGGTTATTTTACAAACACATCAATTTCTGATCAGAGCACTAATCAACAGGGAGAAGATATCTGACAGTAAAGTGGAGGAAAATGGAGAAATTAGTACTAAATTCATTTTTGTTAATGTGTTTTGAAGACAAATGTATTTAATCAGTGAGTTCAGTCATGTACCAATGATCTCCATCTGTCACTAGAGGGAGCACTGGTGCAGCAGGTCTCTAAGGTTAAACTGTTGGGCTTTAGATTGGAGCAAACCAAATTAACCATAATATTAGAATGATGGGCAGAGGTACAGATAATCTGCTTATTGTCCAACTTCTGTTCTAAAAATGGTTGCTCAGAACATTGCGCTGCGTCGCCTTCATCTCTGTCCAGTTCTGTGGTCCAATGCTGCACAGAAGCATTTATGGAAACTTCAGAGCTCGGAATAGATCAGGAAGAAATTAACTTTCTCTAAAAATGAGAAATACTTTAACTGTCTCTATTACAGGCAACCCTTTGATGTTTATTCACACAGTTCTGATCGACCAACAGCCTGTTTTTCTATGTAAAAAACACTTCTAGTGAGTTTTGTCACCACTGTGTCACAGTGTGTCTCACCAAATGAGTTCAGGTTCTCCTGTGGTCCTCAGGCACAATTCAGTTTCTATGAGAAGTTTTTGACAGAGGCCCAAATGCAGGGATTTGTTTTACATCACATCTTAGAGACAAAAATAAAAAAAGTGTCTTTAATAAGAAACATCAAAAGTCACTTAGTGAGGTTACTGAAAAAATGACTGTCTTCTCTCCATTTTAAAAGTACTTTTGTAGTTTTTTTTTCCAATGCAAATACTTTGAATTTATTTTTGTACTTTATTTATATATTAATTTTATTTACACTTAATTTAAAAATTTCTAGGACCCCAGCCTAGGAAGACTAGCAACCACCTTGAGGGAACTAATGGGATCCAAATAGAGAAATTAAGGTGTGGCTCAATAAGAAGCAGCTCCAGGTCCTGAAGTGGCCTAGCCAGTCTGCAGACCTGAACCCAATCCAAACATCTTTGGAGGGAGCTGAAGGTCCATGTTGCCCAGTTACAGCCCTGAAACCTGAAGGATCTGAACATCTGTATGGAGGAGTGGTCCAAAATCCCTAAAGCAATGGGAGCAAACCTCGTCTAGAAATACATGAAATGTTTGATATGTATCTATGATTATAAACTGAGGTTTCTTTAACTAATTAAATATTTAGTTTCTGATGTATGACACACCTATACCTGACAGTACACACACCTTTATTAGGCCTCCAAGAAAAAAACTAGACTTAAAATAAACCCAAAAAGGAATGACAACACACAAAAAAAATCAAGAGTCAGACGCATTTAGTTTGTTAATAGGTGTGATTACGTTTTATTTTTTTAATGCACTTCTTTAATGTATTTATATTATTCTTTCTGGAATTCTGAAGTAACTGCACACTTGCGTCCCCTATTTACAGAAAGCCCATAAATATATAACCAAAACCTGATCAAAATAAAGGAAAAGTTGAACCTTCTCTGATAGAGAAGTAGATGTTTCCATGGAAGAAGCCAGAAAAAAAAGGATAATATTTAACAGGTTTAAAGTGCTGTAGTTTGGTGGAAATATTATCTTTATACTAATAATTAATTTAATTTAAATAATTTTTCCACACAATTCTCAGCATCACAGAATAAAGCAACACAAATAATCTATAAAACAATCAGTGTTATTCCTTAGAGCAGATGAAGTTAAACTCCTCTAGATCATTTATTTTCCTCCACTTATGTCCTCCTCCTGTCTCCATGGCTCCAGACATGTCACAGTCATCCACTGGTTCCCCTGAGGCCCAGTTCTTATACCTGACCACCTCATCACTGACCCAGAACCAGAAATCCAGAGTACAGGTGTAGCGCAGTCCCATCCAGACATAATCAGTCGAGGCGTTCTTGGCTTTCTCCTGGATCCATCTCTGCTCATCCAGGCTGGTGATGGTGACCAGGTCATGGTAGTGATCTCTGCAGTAGTATAAGGCGTCCTCCCAGGTTTTATTTTCTTTGACCAGGATCATTTTATCTGCCATAGTGATGATGGACAAACCAGATTCTTTGTCAAATACTTCATCAGTATTCAGAGATAATGATCCAAAGTTTTTTTATTTGAGTAAACAGAAATATTTGATTTTCTAATTGTATGTTTTTTTTTATATATACATATGGACTCTGCAGAATATGATATGAATGTGTGTGCATTGAACGTTATTAATTGCTTTAAAAATATATTTACAACATGTACAGGCAATATAAATCAATAAAAAAAAAGTTCAACATCGGATAAGCTTTATAAAAACATCTCACCATCATAACAGATGAAGGGTTTTTCAACAGTACAGTCCTCACTCTTCCATCTGCCTTTATGATTGAACATCATGACTGTACATTGCCCACTGTTGTATTTCTCATTATTAAACTCATTCACCCAGTGTCTGAAAGAGAAACTGCTTCTATCTGACCACCTCCATGTGTCTCTGAAGAGACCAAAGTATATTTGTGTTTCATCTCCCACAGAGCTCATCACTTCCTCCAGTTCTCCATCCTGTAGCTGCTTCATTCCACTGATCAGGTCTGTGTGATTCTCTCTGCAGTAACTCTGAGCTTCCTGCCAGGTCTTCTCCTCTCTAATCAAGTGGTATTTCTGGGTTCTATTAGTTTCTGTGGAGTAAAGAGATACAAATACATCATATTGACTTTATATAAGAAAAATCCATAGAAAGTGTTTGTTAGTCAGAGTAGACAGAGTAGAAGGCCTTCCTTCACATTGTGGATGTCACGTGTGTACGGAGGTCATCTAATCAGGACAGCCTTCGTGTCTTTAAGAATACACAGGATATGGGCACATCTTGGAGCCGGTCTGATAGAGGATAGCTATCTGTAGTCCTGAAGTATAGAAGCGAGCTGCATGAAGTTCAAGACATGGATGGCGTGTCAGTTTCTGATATGGCCAGCTCAACATCACCATGATGCAACACATAGACTCATGAGCTATAAGAAGCAGGAGATGACGTTGTTCGGGGCTCAAACTTTGCCGGACGCTCGCGGACGTGATTTTTGAGACCACAGCTGTGTAAGCTCTAAGCTTTTTTCTCTGTCCTGTAACGACCTGATCTGGAATAAACTCTGTTACTTTTTTACTCCAGTTTTTATAGTCGTTTTTTATATGGTTTTACCCAGTTTAAGTTAAGAGTAGTAAATAACTTGCTCCCAGAAAAAGAACCGGTGAGACGGCCCCCGGGGCGCTACAGCCTTTTCTTCCAAGGGGACAAATCCTTCTCATTTTAACAAAAGGCATTTTAAGAGAACAATTTTATAATAAAAAATACAGAAAATGTGATTCATCTTCCTCACCATCATAACACAGGAAACATCTGGTATGTTGGCACTGAGTATCCGCCCATTTAAGATTTTTATATAGAAACCCACAGTTCTCATAATCTCTATTTGCTCTATCAGTTGGTTCTTTGTGTTTAACTTGGTCCCAGTTTGTCTCACTTTCATTAAACTTCATTCCAGGCAGAGACCAGTACCATGTTCTGTTAACATCTGTCTGATCATACAGACCAATCCAAGCTTCTGTCATGTTTCCTGCTGAGTTACTGAGGAATCTCTTCATGTCTGCCATGTTAGACACTGTGGCCAGGTCAGTGTGGTTCTCTCTGCAGTACTGCTGAGCTTCAGTCCAGTTCTTTTCTTCATTAATGTAGTGATACTCATAGAGCTGACAGTTGATGAAAAAACGACCTGGAAACATGAAAAATTTATTTTTTTAGCACTAGATTATAAATATCCACCACCATTTGCAGTGGGTCTTAGTTTAGATTTGTTTTTAAAGGGTTACAGGGATGAAGGGACACATTGGCTCATAGGAGGTTGTCTTGTATTTTTCATTTTATGTTCCCTCACAAGACTAAGAAAATCATTAAGGTCTACATTATATTGTTTTCTATTGTTATTAGTTACTTTCTGTGTGTTAATATATCAGCCATCTCTCCATGTCTCCATGAGTCTGTATATTACCAGAAACCAGTGAGTGTAGTTGTGCTTAGATCAACTTACCCATCAGAAAGAGCAGAATCACACTCCACTGCATCCTTGATATCAGATGGAATATTTTTCCTTGAGCAGTTTTACTGTTCCAAAAACAAAGCAAAAACGTGAAAATTAAATTGATTTGGTCACACTTACATCTCCTAGATATAAATACACACTAATCAAGACCAAAGAGCTTTTCTTATTCTTTTAAAATTTCTCTGCTGAGAATTAAGTCTGACATTCTGGTGATATGTTTACGTAAGGCTGTCCTACATGGCGTTCCCCATTTTTACTTAGAGGTAATGAATGTGCAAAAATTGCAAATCTTCTTTTGGCTTGTGTATGCTCTTGCACCCGTTTAATAGGCATTCCTTCTCAGAAATGGGTACAAGGTTGTGCATGTGCATTTTTTCTTAAAAGTGGAGAGGGCGGGTCTTTACAAAAATTTGCGAAAATCTAAACCTTAACGTGTCTCAGTTGAGTTTTCCTTAAAGGCTCCAGATGTGCTGAGTCAGCCCTGCATCAACAGAAGGGTTTCATTTGTTAATTGTAAGTAAAGGATAAAAAGCTCCAGAAAAACCTTTGAAGAAGCCTTCAGTTTAGCTCCACCTCCGACACTCAAGCCTATAGGCTCTAGTTTACTGTTTTTAGCTTGTTGTGTCACTTAAACCACCTCTCATTAAAAACAATCTGTAGAATATGAGAGTATGTTGATTCATTTTACCTTTTTTCTGGCAATGTTTGATTTATCAGTGTCTGCATTATACTGTGATTAAATTTTTAGCGTTTAAATTTTCAGTGTTTAGTTATTCACTGATTTATTTAATGTCAAATCTATTGTTGATTTCAGTGCAAGCTGTCAGTAGTTTATATCCATAAATACTCAAAAATAGAAAAGGTGCTATTGTTCTAGATATTCAATATATGAAGATTTCATTTGCAAAAACAGATAACTCCCTTTTTATAAATAAAAAAAATTCATTTTTATAAGCTGCAAAGAGTAAATTAGCTCTTTTTTTTATGGCATTTATCTGTTTTTGCAAATGAACTCTTCAAATATAATCATGAACATAAATAATTATAACATCCTTCTTTTAATTTTTGTATAAAAATGCCTAACTAAAAAACAAGTTATAAAACAAAATAAGGGTGGTTATTATATTTCTTTCCATGAATGTCTGCATTATATGTAAGACAAAACTTAAATGTATTTTTTTTTTTTTACCTTATGAACTGGAATGTTTCCTTCCTGATGTGCAGCTGAGTACTGTCCTCAGTCAAATGTTAATGTGCTTCAGACACAGATCTCTGTATACCAGCTAAATTTAAATGTTCTACAATTTGAATATTTAAACCAGGCAGGTCTCATGTTTCTCATGAAATCTTCTATAAATAATAAAAGGAAGGAATATTTATGGCTTGCTATAACACCTACATTTTTTATGTAAACTAAAGTATTAGAAAATGTTTTTTTATGCAGCACTGCAAGTAACTGGTCAGGATAAAGCTTCACAACGTGATGCATTTGTATCTGTAAATATCTATATGGTTTAATAGACTGAATGTATCACAGAGTAAGAGTAGGAACAATAGTGTCAATATTGTTCTGTGGATAAATCCCCATTGAGTAGCTGCAGTAATAAACGGCAGAAATTCTGCAGCCGCAGTAATAAACTTCTTTTTATCTGGTTTAATTTATTTTACTCACTACTCTTTTTTCCAAGTTTGATTCAACAATCATCTATTTCAAGTATTTTTCCATATATATAGTCATAAATATTATCTGAGTTGTTTGGATCCACAAGAACAAAAATCCAGGTTCATTAAGACAATAGTACTAATTCTGTAATGGTTATGGATGGTGAGCATATATATGGGTGGTCCCTTTTCATCCTTTCACTGATTGCAGGTTTCTACTAGTGGGCGAGGTCACTTAGGGTGCAGGATTTACATGGACATTATACCACTTCTGAGGTTTTTAGCTATCTCTCCTGCATACACTGTGCAATAATTTCAAACGTTACTCTTTAAAATCAGTGTGTGAATGAAAAAACGTGGGGAAGAGCCATGTAAGTTCATGTCATTAACATATAATTACACACAAAGCTGGAAGTCATGTAAGTCAAATCAGTTCAAATAAGAAAGAAAACAGAAGAAAATAAAACGGACGCTAGGCAAAAGCATATCTGATTTACTAAATGATGAAAAATGTCATAACCTATATATATTTATATATATAAATTTAATTAATAATACTTTTTGATGTTTTAGCTTTGAACTGTGAAAATGGGTTAACATTTTATCATGAATCCTGTCTGACTGATAGTTTTCTTGGGTGTTTCTCTCCCTGTTCTGCTTATTTTGGTCTGTTTAAACAAAAAGCAAACAGAGCGCTGAAGGCAGGAGAGAGGCTGTGTCAGACAGGAAGTGGACAGCGGTACATCAGAGAAGCCCTGGATTTCTGGATTTTCAAGTCTGCCTTCAGCCAGTTTAGCCTGTCATCAGTGGGTTAAGCCTTTATTTTCCCCTTCCTGCAACCTCTATGCTATGCTTGTCACTATCTGGTTTAGTCGTCATCTGTCAGCTAAAGTGTGCTGCCAGATTCCTGTCTAAGATGGATTTAGGGAGCAGCTGTTTTTAACAGACAGAAAGTACCTTCAGTGTTTAATTGGTTAACCTTCTTGCTTGAGAAAGTATAAAGTACACATATACTATATGTTCATAAGATTATATAGTTCAGTGGAGTTTTATTAGCTTGGCTTAAAGTTATGAACAAAAGTATGCTTATCATGGAGTTTATAATTGATAATTGTTAATAAATTCTTATTTTTGGTTGGAAGTCGCTGTTAATTTCTTTCAGAAGTGTGACTGTGATTAAGCTGGAATAACACTTTCATTTCAATTTCACAGCTGTCTGGTTGTGAATTCAGAAGAAAGCACATGACACCCCAAATACAATTTGATTATTAAATAATATTAATGCAAACAAGTGCAGGTCATTCACTTCATGAGTGGGTTCTCTCTGGGTACTTTAGCTCTATTCCAAACAACTAGCTCCATAGGTGGCTACGTTTAAGAAAGAAACAGCAATGTTAAGCAGAGAAGCACTAAGTTGGTTTTTATGTTTAACTTCCTTTTAGATGCTCACCAATTTATTGTTATTTCATTGTCACAAGCACAGTGTAACAAAATTCACTCTCTCCATTTAACCCATCCTTGGGGAGCAATAGGCTTCTATTGTGAGGTGCCAGTGTGGGATTAAGGATGTTTCCTCAGGGACCCAGAGTGGAGGCTGTGGGAGTGGGGCTCAAATTCAGAACCTCTGGATTCCAAGCTCTATGTCCTAACCACTAGCCACTCCCCGACGGCATTGGAATCTCTGTTTCATTGCATTTTTGTGCAGTTTCTGACCCTTTCTTCTCTGTGAAATATAAATGAAAAGTTTACTCACTATTACTGTATTTTCTTGCAGGACCTAATATAGTGAAGTGAAAGGATACTTTGCTGAAAATTGTCTTAAGTAAATTTTTATTTTCATACTTTTAAAACACTCTGAACAGAAGCTTAATTTGATTTTTTTTTTTATGTCCTTGGTAGAAACATATATCTATTCATGAGAAAATCACCATGTCTGCAGAGTTGGATTCTCACCAGTAACCTTTAATGGAGAATAAAGGCTGTCAGGTTTCTCAGGGTTGTGTTTGTGTAACCCAGGAAAACATAGCCTCATTAAACATAAACCTTTTCATAAAAATAGCTATAAAATGCTCAAATACGAAATAAATAAATAAATAGGAAATAAATAGGCTTTAAAATAGTTAAAAATATTAATAATAATAATTACAGATATTATAAATGGTGTATTTCATTTTATATTTTATTTTGTTTAAAACTGTATAAAAGAGATTTATTTTGCCAGCAGCTAAATGGTTAAATCCGAGAAAAACGTCTTACTCTGAAGGGTCACATTGATTTGTAGCCCATGTGACAAGCTCCAGCCAATTGGGTCGCTATGTTCTCTGGCGCTAGCAGAGAAAGCGAGGGAGAAGAATAGAGAGAACGAAGAAGCTAATGGAGTTGTGCTGGTAAAGAGAGACAATAAGAGAAAATTGACCATTGAAAAGACTACCTGCTGTCTGGAATATTTGTCACGTTTTTGGAGGAGGAGCTTTCCACATATATTTTTTTTTCCCTGACCGAATTCGGGAGTGTTTTATGTTACAGAACTGGACTTGGCCTTTAAGTTTCTGCTGGAGATTGGACCGAGAAAGTCGATTGCTGAGTTGGATTCCACTATTGAGAAACAAGATGGCGAGCCGTAACCCAGGAGCCCTGTAACCGCCGTCTAGCAGGAGATACGCCCTCTGCTGGACATTTCAAATCATCCAAACTGGTATGACCTTCCCATTTTTTCCTGCTAAAAAACAGCAGTGGATTCAGAATTAACCCTTCAGGATCAACAGAGAGAAAAGACATTGATTGAAGCACAAGTTATCCAGTCTTTTGCTGGATTTGGTTATTTTGTGTTTTATTGATTTTCTTTCTGGATCATTTTCAGTATTCATTGTAATTGTGTGGAATGTAAATTGTCTGTTGGGTTATAATAGAAAAAAGAAATAGTTAAACCAGGAAAGTAAAACCCCTTAACTTCCTAGAAAGAACTCTAAATAACTAAAATTGATTAAAAAATAGATTAAATTTGAACAAAC